GGGGGGGGGGGGGGGTATTAACCCTATCCGTACACCCTGGGGTCATTTTGTACTCCCGGGGTTGTATTCTTCACATTTTAAAATACTTCTAGTTCGAAGATCTCTTTGACAGACTGCTATGCAAAGCGAACGGATCGGGTTAACGAGTAAATTTCCTCTTTGAAAAGTGGTGGCACAGAGTTCCCCACGTCGTATGGATGTGTCAGTAAAACACGACGTACGGACAGGGTGAACATGTTCTTACCCGCAGTAGAATTGTAAATGGGCTGATTTATCAATGTCACGCTAAAACTGTGCCGGAACAACATAGGGGGGACTGCTGCTTTTTGTTTCCTCATCCCTACGATCGTCATTTTCCCTCTACTTCTTTTGTATGTTTGTCACTCTCTTGTGAACTGCTATTTCCGAGGTGCCTTGATAGTCGAAGCAGACTTTGTGCTGTTGAGGCTAGAGAGGTGAGCAGAGTAAGTCTGTTTGGACTTCTTTTATGTCTTTGATTTTGGTTGTAAACTTAGTTTTGTTGATTTGTATGTCGTAGATTTAGAGAAGCCTTTGAGGGAGGAGGAAGAGGGTGAGAAGCTGATTATTAAAAGATACAAACATACAAGCTGAGAGATACGCACTGCACCAATAACAGGAACATACCACCGCCATTATCACCACCTGCACCACCACGACTTCCTCGACCACTACCACCACCAGCAACAACAACTTCACCTCCATGACCACCACCACCACCAACAACAACAAGATAAAACCACCACCAACAACAACAAGATAAAATCACCACAACAACAGCAACAACAGACCACCACCATCACCTACAACAACGCAACAGCAACAACAAACCAACAACAACAACAACACAACAGCAACATTAAACCACCACCAACAACAACAACAACGAGATAATACCACTACCACCACCAACAGGAACAGCAACATAAAACCACCTCCGGCAACAGCAACATAAAACCACCACCACCACCAACAATAACAACAGCAACATTACATAAAACCACCACCACCGACAACAACACCACAGCAACATTTAACCACCACCTCCACGACGACCACCACCAACAACAACACAACAGCCGCAACAACAACATAACGACAACGGCAACAACAACAACAACAACAACAACAACAACACACCTCAGAAAGTACAACAAAATAACGACGACTGCTGTAAGTATTAAGCTAGAAAGTAGAAGAAGAAAAAACAGAAGGATAATGACAGACACTGATGCAGCGAAAGATTTGATGCATGCCACAGGAAAACGCAAAAAACCTTCCCTCTTGCACTTTCTCTGAAGATATCCTCGCGTTTTTTTGCTTGTTTACGAGTGGTTTGTGTTTCAGCCAAAGTTAAGCCCCGTCTTCAACAGTTCCTGCGCCCCGTCTATTTCTAGATTCTAAACGTCTCAGACGAACCTGAACATCTCTAGAACGGCCAAGTAGAAAAAGTTTGCAGGACACGGTTACCTGGAATTCAGGAGTATTGAAAACACCTGGCTCTCCAGTCGTTACCTGGAGTGGTAGTCCTGCTTCTCTCTCTCTCTATCTCTATCTCTTTCTTTCTCTCTCTCTCTCTCTCTCTCTCTCTCTCTCTCTCTCTCTCTCTATCTCTTTCTCTCTCTCTCTCTCT